GGCTACATTAGCACCTCCTTCCTCCACGGACAAGGCACTAACTATGGCAACAGGGTTGGGCCCCACACACTGGGAACGATGCACTTCCACCACATGCATTACAAGGTGGACCTCGATGTCGATGGTAGGTCTGGCCACCTTTGTTCGTGGCTGTGGTTCACTGTGGCCTGCAGCTCTGCCTGGGGTGTGGAGGTCGAGAGTGTTTTCCCTTCTGCTTCACAGGGCAGCCAAACTTCCTGGAGACCCAGGACATGGAGTATGAGATTATCAAAGATCCCTGGAGCACGCAGAACACCATCGAGCGTCCGTACCTTCGCAGGAAAAGGCTGGAGAGGGAGGATGAGGCAGCATTCCTGCTCAATGCCCCCATGCCCCGCTACCTCTCCTTTGCCAGCCCCAATCCCAACAAGTGGGGGCACCCACGCAGCTACCGGATCCAGATCATCAGCTTTGCTGGGAAGCACCTGCCCATCAACAGCTCCATGGAGCGGTCTGTCAGCTGGGGCAGGTGGGTGCCAGGGCTGGGGAGCACTTGGCTCCCACTCCCTATTCCCCCACTCATCCCTGCTCCTCCTGCTCCTGGTGCGGGGGAGCTGCCACTTCTGGCAGGCCTGTGCCAAGCTGCAGGGAAGGGTTAAACAGAGAACATGCCTGGGTTTTGGCTCTGAAATTCCCTTGAAAAGTTGCTCAATAACGTCTGCTCATGGTAGGTCACAGGCAGGAATCTGACCCCGGATCAGACTAACTTAGAGAAACGACGTGATTTTCCCTTTGAGGGGAACCAAGCTGCCGGACTAATTCCCAAGGGAAGCACTGGCTTCCCTAGGTTGTGATATCTTCTCTTGAGGACAGAATGTGTTTTAGAAAATGCTTGGGATAAGCACAGGCCAGTCTTGCTGCCAGGGTGAACTAACAGAGCTCGTGCTGGGGGAGTCTGTATGGGTGAGAAGTAGCTGTGGTGAAGGGACTGTGTTGGGCGTTGAGCGGCAGCATCTGTGCCTGGATCAATTTGTGTTTCCCAGCCATGCTGGAAAAGCCACGGGCAGTAAGGCATTCCCTGCAAGCCCAAAGGTGCTGGGGCTGCTGCCCATTAGTGCCATGCTTATCCCTGCCAGCCCTTTCCCTCCCTACCCCAGGACAGACCAGGTCCCCTGGCATGCACCAGGGGTGCATCCAGCCCCAGTTTGCCAGTGCATCCAGCACCCAGCAATGCCATGGCTGCCCTGCCCAGCATGGAAAAGCCCCTTTGCTCCCTGTGCTGGCAGGTACCAGCTGGCTGTCACCCGGCGGAAGGAGGAGGAGTCCACCAGCACCAGCACCTACAACCAGAATGACCCCTGGACACCCACCGTTGCCTTCGCCGACTTCATCAACAATGAGACCATCACCAACGAGGTGAGCTGGGGGGCCCTGGGGGGGAGAGGAGCTGAGCCCTGTGGGTGCTATCCTGGCTCCTGCCCTGGACAGAGGCTTCACGTGTCCCAGAGTCAAACTGAGCAGCTGCCAGGCTGGAAGAGTCCTGCTCAGCCTGATAAATGCCTCTTTGCTCTCCTGCCCAGGACCTGGTCGCCTGGATCTCCGTGGGGTTCCTGCACGTCCCCCATGCTGAAGATGTCCCCAACACGGTGGCCGTGGGGAACAGTGTTGGCTTTTTCCTGAGGCCCTACAACTACTTCAACGAGGACCCCTCAGTGGACTCACGTGGCAGTGTGTACTTCAGCAGTGAGCAGGACACCAGGGCATGCGGGGCCAACCCCCTCGCCTGCCTGCCCACCACTGCTGCATGTGCCCCCCACCTTCCTCCCTTCCACTTTGGGGGCTTCCTCAACGTCAGCCTGGCACCTCCATTTGGTGGGGTGTGACGGGCCAGGGCCTGCTGCCCCCTCCCCACCCATGTGGGCATCGGGCAGGTGCATTGGAGGGGCTCTGTCACCACCCCAGGACCTGCCCTCCCCCTGCCCAGGGTGTCATGTGCTCAGGGTCGGTTTTTGAAGGTGCTCAGCTGTCATTTCAGCACTGCAGTGCTGCTAAAGGTGCAACCAAAACCTCTGAAAAACAGCTGCTAGGAGTGATTTTTTGATCTCCATCCGGTGTCATCCTGTGTTCCGTGTGGTGCCCACAGCTGCTCCCCTCCACTCAGACAGGGCTCCTGCCACCTGCCCAAGGTACACCAGTGCTCACAGGGGGACAGTGCCAGTCAGGGCTGCACATGGCACAAAGCCACAGCTGCCCTTGGAGCCACAGTCCACCTGAGGTTTTGCCCAGGGTGGCAGGAGCTGTGGTGTGATGGCACTCCCATCCACAGGGAGATGGCAGCTCTGGGATGCCCAAAAGATCCTCCCCAGCCTCGCAGCCGCTGCAGCATCCCAACTGCAGGGCCCAGGTGCTACCAGGCTCTGGCAGCTGCTGCAGCGCCAACTCTGCAGGTAGGGACAGTGTGCTGGGCTCACTGGGAGCTCATGGGAGGAGCCCACGGTTGGGGCCCCAGAGGGGCACTGCCCGAGCTGGGCTGCCCCGTGTCTGCCCTTCCCAATAGACAGGCACTGGAGTGCTTTCCCTGACCAAATCTGAGTAGCTCACAGGTGCTGCTGTGGCTCCTAAGGCCGGGGCCAGACCCCAGTATGGCTGATGCTGTGGGGACTGGTGTCCTGTAAGGGGTGGCCCTGGCTCAGCTCTGCAGGGGTCCAAGGGCTGTGGGGGCTGGCACAGCGCCCAGCACAGTGCCTGGCATGGCTGTGTGAGGGTGCCCCAGCCCTGCTCCTGGGCCCAGGGTGCTGGTAGGAGGCTCCTGCTGGGACACATGGGACAAACAAAGGAGTTAATGTGTAACAGCTGTTCTGAGCAGCATTAATCAGTTCTGGCCTTGGCTGCTGCCCGTCATGCTTAGCCCCCCACCCCACCCCCCCGGTGCAAAGACTCTTGCTCCTGCACCCCCAGCTGCTTGTGCAGTCCTGGCCTGTGGGATCCTGCAGGCTCCAGAGCCCATCCCCACTGTGCCAGGCTGGGATGGGGCACCAAGGAGCACCAAGGAGGGGAGGGTGGTGCCAGTCCTGGCACGTGGCTGCAGATGCCAAGCACCAGCCAAGGTGTCTCTGTGGGCATGGTGGGTGTCCATCCTCTCTGACCCCTCAGTGTAGTGGCTGGGTCTGCCCAGAACCATGCTGCAAGGGGTTTGAGAAGTCCTAATGGCAGCTGCACTTCACCTCAGCTCCCAGCAGCACCCAGGGGCATTGTGGAGAGTGAGCAGCTGAGGCCGTGGCTCGGTGGGAGGCTGCAGTGGTCCCTGGCTGCCCTGGGGTGACAGCAGGGACTGTGCCCAGAGGTCCTCTGAGGCCTCGTGTGAGAGGACAGTCATGCTGGCTGGTGTCCTGCCCACTGCTGCGTGCCCACGTGTGTGTGGTGCTGCCTGGACTCTGCCTGCTGACGCAGTCCCGTGCTGGCAGTGACCCGCTGCTGCCCGGCCCGGACCTTGCAGCCATCTGGGAACGTTCTGGACCAAACATTGGCAGTGCATGCAGCACACTATGTTACAGCACCCGCTTGTGCTGCACCTGCTGTAGCTCCATCTGGAGCTCTGTGTCCCAGATCCAGCTGCTGCCACTGCAGGCACACTCCTCCTGGGCTGCCAGCTGATCCTGAGCTCAGTGTGCACAGGCCCAGGGCAGAAATCAGGTTCCCCCAGCCTGGCCCCGCTGCTTCCCTGAGAAAGCCTCCCCAGCCAGTTTGCAATGCTGCCAGCGTGGCTGCTTGGTGCAGGGGGTGAGCTGGAGCCTGGCATGGTGCTCCTCAAGCTGGTGTCAGATGGGCCAGGATGCAGAACCCTGTGGTGCCCAGGGGGTCGCCAGCTCCTGCTGCCCCAACCTGGCCCTGCTCCACACAGTGACTTTGGGACCAGGGATTTATCCACAGTGCAGGGGCATGGAGCAGTGCTGGGAAACCACTGCGTGCATCCTGGCAGCTCTGGCACAGACCTGACCCGTGGCATGTGTACCTGGCCACTGCACAGGGGGGTACTGGGCTGTGCCACTCCGTCCTCCACGCTGGGAGAGAGGAGGCGATTGCTTCTGTCCTGCTTCCTGGTCTCTCCCTGCTGCAGCCCCAGGTTTCCTGCAGTGACTTTCCAAGTGGACTGGAGTGCTAGTCCCCATCCCCCAGAGCATTTTGCCCCATTTTCTGCTGTGAAATCTCCCGTGGAGGATTTATTGCTGATGGTTTCAAAATGTTTTTGACACAGAAGCCAAGTCTGTTGCATTCCTTCACGCTGGCCAAAGCCACTCTCAGTTGAAGACCCTGAAACGAGCAGTTAGGGAATATGTTTTGCAAGAGTAACTCCAGTTCTTTGCAAACTTCTGTTTTGTTGGGGTGTTCTGTAGGTCAGGAGCTCAGACTACCCCCTTTGGATGCAGCAAGGCTGGGCTGGGAGGGATGGGGAGGACCAACCCTGGGCAAGGATGTACCTGTGGCAGGGCTGACCCCACAGCATTTGCACTGCTGCTCTCACGGGCCATTCGTGCCCATATCCCAGGGAGGAAGGTTTGCTGGGCTGTCAGACCCCGTGGCTCCCTGGGCTCTGCGTGGGCAGGGGGGACAGGATGCTGCCTGTAGACCTCGCTGTTTGTGGGCAGGACTTGGCTCAGGATATGACTCTCACAGCAGCAAACAGCTTATGGCAGCGGTTCAAGGATCTTGACCTGCCTGCTCACGAGGGAAATAAGTGATGCATTCCACTGGCTGCTGATCACTAACACCTTGCTGCCTGCTCCCATCATGGGCAGCTGCCTGCTCCCATCATGGGCAGCTGCCTGTTCAGGTGTGGCAGGTGATAGCTGAGCACCCTGTGCTGCTGCCACAAAGCTGCATGTTCGTGCAACAGCGGTTGTGGATGATGAGGTTGTGGTGCCCACAGTGCTGCCAGTGACAACAGAGTGTGGCTGGGGTTGAGGGAACAGCCAAGGGCTGGTATCCAGTGCCATGGGATGAGTGGCATGTTTGGCTCTGTCCCCTCAGCTGGGGTCTGATGGTGCAGGAAGGATTAACACAGTGGAGTGGTGCTGGGAGGAGGAATGACATCCCTATTTGCAAAGGTTCTTTAGCCCCACAGCAGAGACCAGAAGAACATGGCTGGCAGCCAGGAGCACCCCCAGCCTGGCTGTCTGTGGCTGTGGGGAACTCCAGGAATGGCTTGGAAAGTTTTCCATTATGTGAAGTCCTGGTTAAATTAGCCTGGCAAATGAGGAGGGGGTAGGCAGCCCGTCCTCTGCTCCATGCACCCACTCCACACTCCTGGGCGTCCCTGCCATGCTCTGGTGGTAATTCACAGGGAGATGGCAGAGAGGTGGGAGCAGTATCAACCCTGGGCACAGCAGCTCTGCAGGGCTGTCACACAGATAATGGAGCAAAGGCTGCAGTTCAGTTGGAGCAGCAGAGCTGTTGTATTGGGCGGCCAGAGGGGCTGGGGCTGCAGGATTCCCCTGAGTGAGGGGACAGTGTGGGGCAGGGGACAGCGCTGTTGCTGGAGCACCCTGTGCTCCATGTGCCCTCAGAGCCTGTTTTTCCCTTTTATGTAAGTTATTCCAAACATGTTTGTAACAACCCCCCCCGGTGATGCACCTTTGGCAAAAGTGGTTTTGAGTCCAAAGATCAGTGCTGGGACAGCGACCTGCCCGCAGCAAACAAGGCTCAGCAGGGTATAAAACCCCAGCAGCACAGCAGAGCGTGGGGCAGCCGGAGCCAAGCCGAGGGCAGGGGCAGCAGAGGAGGATGGAGGCTCACATGAACCTCCTGCACGACGTGGGCATCCGGACAACGCACTGGCTGCAGCAGCACTTCCAGGGCTCCCAGGACTGGTTCCTCTTCATCTCCTATGCTGCTGACCTCAGGAATGCTTTTTTTGTCCTCTTCCCCATCTGGTTCCACTTCAGTGAGGCAGTGGGCATCAGACTCATCTGGGTGGCTGTGATCGGAGACTGGCTCAACCTTGTCTTCAAGTGGTGAGTGGCCCTGAGCCACAGCTCCCTCCGAGTGTGTTGGCACAGCTGGACTAACACGGGCCAGTTGGGTGCTCTCAGCCCCAGTGCTGGAGTAGAACAAAGAACAGAGTTCAGCTCCCAGCTGGGCAGTGACAATGGTCGCTCCTTCCCAAGCTGTGCAGCAACAGCTCCCCCCTTCTCAGAGCCAGCCTGAGAGATGGAGCCTTCTACAGACAGATCCTGCTTGTCAGCCAGGGCTGTGGTGCTGAGCAGGGGCTGCACAGAGCCCCTCAGCACAGGAGGTTGCGTTGACTTGCACCCAGGAAGCTCTTTCCCTTGAGGGCCGGGGATGGGGACATGGACAGGCAGTGTCAGCTGTCAGAACCAAGTGACCAGCTGTATGTTGTGTCTGTCGGGATGCCCTCGACCACTTGTGGGTCCTTTGCTTCTTCCAGCTCCCAGGACAGAGCTGAAGCTGCAGCTGTGCCCAAAACCTCCTCAGACCCCAGTCTCCTTTCTTTTCAGGATCCTCTTCGGAGAGAGACCATACTGGTGGGTCCACGACACGGACTATTACAACAACAACTCTGCCCCAGAGATCCAGCAGTTCCCGCTCACCTGCGAGACTGGCCCTGGTAGGGTCCTGTAGCCCTGGTAGGGTCCCCCAGCCCCGGTAGGGTCCCCCAACCCCAGCTGGGGCAGTGGGCACTTGCCCAGGGTGACCTGCACATGCCGGGAGGGGGGTGCTGGCCTGGGCAGGGTCATGGTTGGCAGCCCACTAGTGGCACGTGTTCCTGGCCAGCTCTTGAGAGAGGGCCATTCCTGCTGTGCTCCCAGGCACACCAGCTGTGCCTGCAGTGGGGGGAGGCAGGGAGGTCCCTGTACAGAGCAGACCTTGACCATTGGTGCAGATGTGGTGGTTCAACACAAACCCTGCCTGTGCTCAGCTCTGGCCTGCACTAGATCTGACCTGGGGCTCTCTTTTTGCCCAGGGAGCCCGTCTGGCCATGCCATGGGCGCAGCAGGTGTGTACTACGTCATGGTGGTGGCCCTCCTCTCCGCTGCTGGTGGGAAGAAGCAGTCAAGGACATTCGGATACTGGTAAGCTGTGCACCAGAACAACCTGTGCTGGGCAGAGGCAGCTCCAGCACTGACTGGCACAGCCAAGCCCATCAAGGCACAAGGCTGTGGACAGACAGACAGGCTGTGGCACCCCAGGTGGGGTCTGCATGAGGATGGGCTTGGCAGAGAGCCAGGCACAGTTTAAGGTGCGGGATGGCAGTGCCACAAGCAGTGCAAGCTGGCCCTGGCACCAACGTAGCCACCTGCCCCTTGCAGGGTGCTGTGGACGGTGCTTTGGACGGGGTTCTGGGCAGTTCAGGTCTGCGTCTGCCTGTCTCGAGTCTTCATTGCTGCTCACTTCCCCCACCAAGTCATTGCAGGTGTTTTCTCAGGTAAGTGCATCAGATCCCCCCTGCCCTTCCCTGCAGTTCTTCCATGCTGGACTGTAGTACCCTGAGCGCTGACCAGTCCTCCTGCTTTGTTACTGGCAGGGATGGCTGTGGCCAAGACCTTTCAGCAAGTCCACTGCATCTACCACGCCAGCCTCCATCGGTACACGGGCATCACCTTATTCCTCTTCAGCTTCACCATTGGTTTCTACCTGCTGCTGCGGGTGCTTGGCGTGGACCTGCTCTGGACACTGGAGAAGGCACAGAGGTGGTGCAACCGCCCTGAGTGGGTTCACATCGACACCACCCCCTTTGCCAGCCTCCTCCGTAACCTGGGTGTCCTCTTTGGGCTGGGGCTGGCTGTCAACTCCCACATGTACAAGAAGAGCTGCCAGGGGAAGCAGGGCCAGCAGCTGCCCTTCCGCCTGGGCTGTGTCGTTGCCTCCCTCATCATCCTCCACATCTTTGACGCCTTCAAGCCACCCTCCCACATGCAGCTGCTCTTCTACGCCCTCTCCTTCTGCAAGAGCGCAGCCGTGCCGCTGGCTACTGTCAGCCTCATCCCCTACTGCCTCTCCCACCTCATGGCCACACAGGACAAGAAGGCTGCCTAGGGCGTCCCTGCAGGTAATTGTGCCCAGGCAAGTGGCCACCCTAGCCCTGGTCTCAGGGGCACCCACTAGCCCTGGTGCACCCCAGCCACTGTGTGCTCCCTGCTGATTTTGCACTGGGAGTGGACTGTGGAGGCTGGGCAGGCGGCGCTGCCGGGTGGCTCCCACCACACAGACCCACAGACTCAGTTGTGCCCTTGCTGATGGCACAGCGAGCCTTGCACTCCCAGGACTCCCCTGCTGCCCCTCCTGCACCCACGGGTGGAGGTCACCTGCCTGGGACCCAGCAGCAGCGGTGGCGAGATCCTGCACTCCCTCTGCAGCTCATGGGGACACGCCAGCTCCGCACTGCAGGGCTGGGGACAGCACCACCGGGAGCAGGGTGCTCACCCCTGGGTGCCTGGGGTCTGCTGGCAAGGCAGCTCTGTGACAGGAACGGGCAGACACTGTGACATGGAGATAAAGTGCCAGCATGAGGGACCCTGCAGCCCTGGGGCGTTGGGTGTTCGCTGCTGTGATGCAGCGTGGGGTGATTGTACACCTGTGTGTGTACATATGTTACACGTATCTATACACACATGACATGGGGGTGTGGCTGTGCACAGGAGGTGTTTTATTAAAGCTGAAGGTGTGTTTAGCTGGTGAGCTTGAGTGTTCTGCTGGCCTGCGCTGTGGGATGCAGGATCAGCTCCTGGGTGCAGGGCTGTGGCACGGACTGTGGGTGGTGGAGGAAGGACGTCTGTCCTGAGTGATGAGAAACACCAACACCTGCAAAACACGTTCAAATCACTGGGAAGGGCACTGCCAGGTGTCCCGGGGCTTTGCCATTCGCCCCTGGTTGCAGTCAGACAGTGAGAGCACAGCAGGCGGGGGAAGGGATGAGCTGCTTTTTGTGCTGTTTATCCAAAGCTTCTGGGTGCACCTTGTGGCAGGAACAGGGACAAACTCGTGTCACCTTGCTGCTTAGGGAAACAAGCTCAGCTTTGGGACCGAGTGACTCGGCTGGGGCTGTGCTGAACTCCCAGGGTGTGGGGACAGAGCTGGTGTTTGGCTGTGCTGTGGGGTTGGGGTCGGGGTGGTCAGCGCTAGCACAGCCCCCAGCCACCACGAGCCCCAACTCCAGCTCTGCCCGGGTGCAGGAAGCGGCTGCATCAGCGTGGGGTCACAGCAGCTCGGCTCTCCCAGCCCCGGCATCCCTGGTCTCGGCATCCCGGCCCCCTGTGGTGATCCCGAGCTTCCTCCAGCTTCAAGCTGTGCAGGCTGTACAGCCCGGCAATTAACTCCTTCACTAAACATCCTCACTCAGCCTGAGATAGTCTAAAATAGATACGGAGGTGCAGACACTTTCTTCCTGCCAGACTCTGTGTGTGCATTTGCAGAATCTCCCCCAACCAACCAGTGCCTGCAGCACTGACCCTACACCCAGCTCCAGCTTCTGCGGTGTTCCCTGTGTGCTGACACTGTCCCAACAGCTCAGCCAGGGGCCATGGCCTGTGGCCCTACAGCAGCCACAGCAGCCACATGTGGGAACATCATGTGCTGAGGTTCACCATCCCTTTGTTCATGACAGATAAACTTCCTTAGGATGGAGGTTTCTTTTATTCTGTTTCTCTGTTTATTACCAACATCTAAAGTGAACCTGTCATGCCACTTCTAGCAAAAAGGAGGAAAAAAACCCCCAAATTACCTGTTGTGCCCCACTGTGGCTCCACAGCACCATTTAGTTCCTCCAGCTGAGACTGCAGCAGCTTCAGGGCCTGCCTGGGCTAGAAAGGTGAGCTTAGGGAACACTGGGAGCAGGGCTGCCTGATCCCAAGGGAGTTTGTAGCTGCAGCAGCCCAAGAAACTCTCAATGTTCAAAAAAGGACCAATAACAACTGCATCTCAACAAGGAAAAGGACTGGTACATGGTAGGGAACAACCTCCTGCCCGTGGACCACCCACTCTCCCTTGTGGATGCTCTCTGTCCCTGCGCAGGCCAAGGTGTCAGGGAGGACCAGTGGCCTCTTGCTGAGTGTGACTGTCAAGCAACTGCTCCTCAGCAACTGGTGCAAAGCAAAAGGCTCCAATGTACTGCCAGATGGAGGTGCCTCTTGGTTTTAGTAACCTTACAAAGTGGTAAACTAAGGACTACTTTAACCCCTGTACCATTTGGCTGGGGAAATGAAAGAGCCCTTGCAGCAAAGCACGGATTGCAGATCCCCTCCCCATTTCTGTGAGCACCAAACCAGCCTGCGCAGAGCATGTGCACACCAGCTTTTGGGTTCAGGTCTTTATTCTCCAGGAGAGAAGTTAGTGGGGTCTGTGCAAAACAGGGAAGGAAGCCCTACTTTGAGAATTATTTCTTACACTTCAGGGTTTCGATGGCTGATGAATTCCTGGAGCAGAGCTTCCACTTCTCCTCGACGGCTCATCTTGGCTGCCTTGCCCTGGAAGCGGTCACGCTTTCCAGCTCCTTTCCCTCCCAGCAGCTCTGCCACCCTGCAGCAACAACACCACAGGCTGCAGCCCAACCTGCTCCAGACAGCAAATATGGATCCATGCCTGGATTACACTGTGCAGCTGCTCAGTCTGGAACATCAGAATTCATTTTAAACAAACCACAAAACACGTTACCTGGGACCTAAACTCTCAACTGCTTCAACAGGTCCAGCTAGAAGGAAGAGTCCTGCTTCTTTTTCATCCCCCACAGTCAGGAATAGCAGGGTTTCCTGTGGACAGAAATGGATGTTGCTGCAGATTAACTACTGCCTTCTTTGTTCAGGGAAAGGACAGACACTGGCCACAGGACCGAAACAGCACACTGACAATTCAGAAGTTTATGTGTGTTACTGAGAGAGAGACTTCTTGAAAAAAGTGAAAGGAAAGTGGCTTCTGAACCTTTGGATCTGTCATATGTTGTTGGGACAACATGGTACTGGGGTATCCTGAATTAAAAGGATATAGTTGGCAGTTGGACTAGATGAGTGTTGTAGGTTCCTTCCAAGTGAAATAGGCTACTCTTTCTATTCTATTCTATTCTATTCTTATCCTATCCCATCCCATCCTATCCAACGAGGCTTTGTGCAGCTTTGGGGGTCAGGCTCTTCCCCCGTCCTCTGAATTCTCACTGTTGAGGACTTCCCCACAGACTGAGGCTGCTGGGGACAGGTAACCTCAGGTAACTGTCAAAAGGAACCAGACCTGCAGCTCATGCCTGCAGCAGGAGCAGCAGCCTGGCCAGCCCCTGTCTGTGTATAGCTCAGGTAGAAAACCAGTGGTGTCAGGTCAGTCTTCATCACCAACTCACCTCTGTCCCAATCTCATTAGCGATGATGTTCATAAATTCAGAATCACCCTCTTTCCTGTATGGATGGATAAAAAAAACACTTCAAAAGGAAGGAAAAAACCCTTCTAGAGTCAAAAATCTCAATCAGAAACCAATGGCCTGATCAAGGGTTTTGGCCTCTTGCACTTAGTACAGAGATTAGGTTTTGTCCATATATCTAAATCCTTGTTGGGCATTCCTGTGGACATGATAGGAATTACTTAAGTGTTTATCTTTAAAAAATAGAGCTCCCTAGTTTTATTTGAAAATATCAAGGGCAGAGAGAAATTAGATGGATGCAGTCATTTCTCAGCTACAAAACCAGAAGTCAGTGACTGAATTACCAACAGATTCCTTCAATTACAGAACTTTGCAGCAGACTGAGGCAGTTTAATATTTTGTTCACCTCATTTATACTTTTCCTTGAGAAAACAAGCCTGAATAGGTGTGAGAAAGGCAACTGCCATAATACATGTGAGATATTGTTGGCCCCTTTCCCCTGAGCTCCCCTGTACCTGTGTAACACAAACAGCTGCCTTGGAGCAGGTTTGTTCTTGAAGTCCCGAGCTATCAAAACAGCAATGTCTCGAAGCAGGTTCAGGTTATTCTGAAAGAAAAGCAAATGAACTGTACTGCAGCTGGAAAAGTCAGTGTGAATACATTTGTGTTCCTAGAGGTTAGAGCACTTTTCATAATATCCACAAAAACTGAGGCCTACGATTCAATTCCCAGTTACCACAACTAAAGCTCAGGTCTACATGAAGCAGCCACAACCCACTTTTCCAAGCCATCCTCGTACCTTCTGGAGCAGCTTCACAGAGCTCTGCAGTCTTTTCACAGCCTCTACATGCTCACCTGGTCCATTTCTGAAAGAACAGGGAGAATTTAGATCATTGGGTTGTCATGAAGGACAAAGGAAGGATTTCCTAAAGGAGCAAAAGCAGATCATAAACAGCCCCAGGAGCTGTACCCTGAAGCTTATGTGGTATCTGTCAGGAGAAAGAGTAAAGATGAAATAACAGAAGTGGAAAGGTTATTACTTGAGCAGGGAGGTTAGAGCCTTCTCAGTACTGTGACTTTGTTCAATTGATTTCAGCACTCTGTTTCCCACCAAGAAAATCAAGTTGGTTTTGTTCTTTTTCCCTTTTTCCGTGCCAAGGAGTTTAATAACCTTAAAAAGAAAATCACGCTGGTCAGAACAGCATTTTGGTTATATACACAGGTGGTCATTTCCTACCAGACTATTCCTTGTGGTGAATATTGACTCTCTGCCAGTGAAAATAAATTGATTAAAATCAATTTTAAATTGATTAATCCACACATTGCTCTGTGTGGAGTGTGGCTCCCAGAGGCAGCTCGGCTGCAGCCACCCACCTGCAGGTCACTTAGGTTGGAGACATGAGTTCCACAGCACATGTTGGAGTCAATGCCTTCGATGTCCACAACACGCACTGGCCCCACATGGTCGTCGGGCAGCCCCCGGCTCCTCACCTGGCAGAGGAGAACAGTGACAAACAAGGTGACATCCATGCTCAGTTATTCTGGTCCCACGAATACAATCAGTTCTCTCCCATCACTTACTCTTTCAATTTCAGGGTCATCTGCAGCCAGTTCCCTCACTGTCACAGGGACCCTGTCCCGGATTTTCTCATTCACGCTCCTTTCCAGGGCCTTGACCTGCTCTGCTGTCATTGAGGGGGTGTCCAGCTCAATGAGGCTTCGCTGACGGCCCAGCTCCCTGCACCGAGGAAGAACATCTGCTGCTGTAGCTCAGACCATCCAGGAGATCCCTTTGTGCAGCACCAGCATCTCACTGGTGACTGAAACAAAACACACTTCTCTCCCTGTTATGTTCAGAGCACCAGGTGCAAACCAAACACTTGAGGAGGACAAGACAGAGCAAACACTTTGTACAGCTTCTCTCCAGGTCAGCCACCTCTCCCAGGCAGGACCTCTGAACTTGAATGAAATATCCAAACTCCTTTTGGCGTATTAATGTTCAGGCTCTGTGGAGCCCAGCACGGTGGCACGTACCAAACAAGGTAATACTGGGGTCAAAAGGAACCTTTATCCTGCTCACCATGAAGTTGTCTTGAATCCAAACATCTGGTCTGCAATGGCAGTGATGAGATGCTGTCCTGGAAAAGACATGCAAGCACCAGCTCTGAGTATTTTCAGTCACACCGTGTATGTCCCGCTGACATTCCCCACAACAGGCAAGCACTGGGCGCTGCAGGGCTCCTACCAGCGCCCAGAGCAGCAGTGGAGACAGCCCTGCCTTCATGGGTTGAACTTTTCCTTCCAAACCTGTTTTCGGTGGCTTTGTTCACAAGCCAAGGAGAGCTCGCAGGGGGCACTTGCTGTCCCAAGTGGCGCCGGGGACAGACTGTGCACGCAGAGCTGCCGAGCATCCCCCTCCCCTGACCGGGGCGGGGACACTCTGGGCACTGACCGCCCCCCCACCACGGTAACCGGGGTGTTACCGGGCACCCCCCCCCGGTACCGGCACGGACCTGAATGCTGCTGCATGTGGTCGAAGCGGCGCTCCCAGTCCAGCGACAGCAGCACCTCGGCGCCGGGCTCCAGCGCGGCCGGCACGAAGTGCACGGCCTCGGGTCCCCGCCGGGTCACCCGCAGCACCGGCACGTCCCCGATGAGGCCGCGATCGTCCGGCTGCGGACACGAGGCGTCAGCGCCGCCGGTCCCGGCTCGGCCCCCGCCCGGCCCGGCCCGGCCCCGGCCCGTACCTGCCCGCCGCCCTCGGGGAAGAGGATGGTGTCCTCCAGCACCACCTGGAACCCGCGCACCGGCTCCCCGCCGCCCTCGGGCCGCAGCTCCGCCGCCCGGCACGACACCACCCTGGTGGCGAACTGCGACAGACACGGCGGCACCGTAAGGATCAGGGTTAGGGTGAGGGGCCCGCCCCGCGCCCCGCGCCGGTACCTGCCGGGCCCAGCTGTCCCGCTGGCACCGGAACACCATCGCGACCGCCCGGGGACGGACACGGCACAAGTGGCGGCAGCCGCTGCGCCGGGAGCGGGCGGGGCCTGCGGGGTGACGAGCGGGCGCGCTCCCGGCGGCGGCGCGCGCCCGCTGCCGGTGGGGAAGGACGGCTCCCGTTTGGGGATGGACCGCTCCCGGGCGGGGAAGGACGGCTCCCGTTTGGGGACGGACCGCTCCCGGGCGGGGACGGACGGCTCCCGGGCGCCTGGCGCGGCGGCGGCCCGAGGGCACAGCAGACAACTGCGGCAGTACACGTTTATTGCCCCGCGCGGGTAACCGGGCACGGCAGACCGGACTGCTTCTGCCGCCCGGCGGGGCACGAGCTGAGGCAGCTCCGCTCCCTCGGAAAACCCTCCCCGCGCTGCCTGTCCATCGGTGCGTGCTACCGGGGCGTCGGGAGGTTCCTGCAGCCGCGGCATCCCCCGGGGGCCCGGACTTCAGTCGTCCTGTGGGAGAAGTGGGAGATGCCAGGGACCGGGCCAGCCCTGCACCGGCTGGCAGCCCCTGGCAGCCCGGGGAGTGTGTTTGCGCTGCCTCTGGGACAGGCTGCCCGAGGGGAGCAGCAGGAGCTGCTGCCGGTGTCCTGGAGCCAGGAGAGGTCAGAGCCCAGGCTCTGCTCAGTGGCATGGTGGAAAGTAGCTAGCAGGTGGTACTTACATCCAGGTCATCCATGGCTGGCGGGGGACCTTTGTCTGTCACCTTCTCCAGCATCTGGATGGGAAACAAACAGCTGGCTCCCCCTCATCCCAAGCACCCACCTGATGTGCCCCTGGACCCTGAAACCAGCAGCCCAGCTCACCTCTGCGTACTGCTCCACCATGGCCCTCTCCACCTCCTCATCACCTTCCCAGTCTCGCCAGTTGTCAAAGTCCACAGAGAGCCAGGCCGGCTGTGGGCACAGAAAGCATCCCCTGAAGGGGAGAGCAGCACTGCAGGGACTCACAGCCCACGGGCTGCTCCTGCACAGGGCCTGGGAAAAGGCAGGAAGCAGGGGTGTCCCTTTGCCTGCAGGCACTGGTCCTGACCCTGCCTGTGTCAAGGAAAAGAGGTGCTGCATCCTTCCTGGATTGCACTAATTTGTGGACTAGCAGTGATTGTCAGGTTGGGTTTTTTGGGAGCTCTTTCTTGGGGTCCCCCGTGGGGCCCTCTGTGTCTGTCCCAGGGGCAGGTTGGTCCCTGGGAGTCGCGAGGTGCTGCATGGGGACAGGACACGTGCTGAGGCTGGTCCTGGCTGCCAGGCACTACACACACCTTGATGTTCTCCTTGGTGATGCGTGGCCAGGCCACTTTCTCCTTCCACTTCCTCATAAAGCATGTGATGGACCGGTCAGAGCGCTTCTCCCGTGAGTCCTGCCAAGAGATCAGGGGTGTCTCACCTCCGTGTCTGTCAGACTCCTCTCTGTAGAGCTAGACAGGGTTATAAAGCTCAGCCCCACACAGACCGAGGGGGATACAGAACCACGGAGACAAGTTGTTTCTGGCTCAAGCCAGCACCTCAAGTACCAGCCCTGGGCACGGTCAGGGCTCTGAGGTGTGTGCTCACCTCACTGAAGCTCTCAGGACACAGGCAGGATTCAACACTAAGCAGCATTGCTCAAGACTGCACAGGCTGGCTCTGACTCTGAGCCTTATATAGGCTGGTGGAGAACAGTTTGTTGGGGGGAAGCCTCACCTTGGAGTTGACTCTGGCGTACAGGTTGATCTCATTGTAGAACTCAACACCGTCTGCATTTTTGCAACTGCCAAAACACCGTAACAGCCTGGCTTAGGAGATGGTTGAGGCCATGTGTGCGCTGCTCTCTCAGAGGCCTCTCTATCCTCCAAACAACCCCCAGTTCAGGCCATGTCGCCAGTCAGCAGGGCAGTGGCTGCTCACCTGAACACCAGCCGCTGGTCCTCGATGACGACCTTCACGTCTGTGCTGTCCTCGACACAGAACTCCAGGTACACGTACCGCGGGCGGTCGTACCACAGTGTCTTCGCAGGCTGCCTTGGGGAAGAGCAGACCAGAAGGTGTCACCAGCGGACATTCCCCCGGTGCCCAAAAGCGCTCTGCAGGGCCCGCACAGGGCACGGGGGACAGGGGCGAGGAAGGGGCCCCGGACGCGGGCGCTGCCTGGGTCGAGCCCCGGGGCTGGCAGCGGGAGCCGGGCGGGTTCCGGCCGGGAGGTGGGCACGCGGCGCTCCCCTCTCCCGCCCCGCACGCCCCTCGACCCTGTTCCCGCTCCCCCCTGCGGGTCCCGGCGCGGTTCCCCGCTGCCCCGGGTCGCAGGGTCCTGCCTGGCGGTGCGCCGGCCAGGGACCGGGCGCCGTGCAGGCGCTGCCTGTCCCGTCCGACCGCGCTCACCTCGCCATGGCCTTGCCGACTCCGCCCCGCGCTATTTCGGGCAGGGGGCGCGGCTGCCGGCGGGGCCGGGATCGGGGGCCGGGATCGGGGGCCGGCCGGGGCGGGCACAGCGCGGACAACCCGCGGCCCGGCCGCCGCCTCCCGCTGTGGGCGCCCCGGGGTCCCCGCGGCCGCCCCACCGGGCCGCGAGGGGGCGCGCTGGCCCCGCCCATTGCCCCGCCCCGCGTCGGCAAGATGGCGGCGGTGTCACGGCGCCGGTAGCGGCGGCCATGGAGGCGGAGGGCGGCCCGCTGGGCCCCGGCGAGCGCTGGGCGCCCGTGGGCGCCGTGTCGGCGGAGGAGGAGGAAGAGGAGGCAGAGGAGGAAGAGGACGAGGACGAGGTGGCAGGCGGCGGGTCGCCGCAGTCGGTGCCGCGGCTGCGGGCCGAGCGGCGCCGGCTGCACGGAGCGCTGCTGGCGCTCGCCTCGCACTTCGCTCAGGTGCAGTTCCGGCTGCGGCAGGTGGCCCGGGCCGGCCCCGCCGAGCAGCAGCGCCTGCTCCGCGACCTCGAGGACTTCGCCTTCCGCGGCTGCCCCGCGCCGCTGCCCCACGGGCTCGGTGCCGCCCCGGTGAGTGCCCGCGGCCGGGCGGAGCGGGGCCTTGTTTGGGCACAGAGAGCACCGGCGCCGCGGGTACCGGCGTCCCGTGGCTCCTGGTCCCGCGCTGCCCGCCCCGGCATCTGTACGTGCGCGTGTCCCGGCTGAAGCCCGTTAGCGCTGCCGGCGGGGGCTCAGCAGCTGCGCTGCCCGCAGTGCTGGTGTTTGCACAGAGATCGGTGCCAGACACACTCAGGGCCCTGCTGACTCGGTGCCAGCTCGCAGGGACGTGCCCTAAAGCCCTGAGTGGTGTGTCACCGCTCCACTCCCACCTACGGCACAAGTGAGTCAGAGGATCTGTTATATGTAGGCATTATTTACATACACGTTATTTGGCCACTTTCTTCCTGGATCCCAGCCTTGTGGGGTGGGGTGTGGGTGCAGGAGGCCTGGAGAAGCACTTTCCTTGCCCTGTCAGATGAGGTGATGTGGCTGGCACCTCTCCTTGGTGCTTAGACACATTTCTTTCTCAGGCTGGTTTGCAGTGCTCGCTAGTGAAGTGCATGAGCTGCAGGAAACATTCCTCATGTCATGATCCCGTTCTCTGGGGCCTGGCTATGACAATAAGCCTTCCATTTGATTTACTGGTAACTTTTTTTCAGGGTGAGCGAGAGAAGCAGGAACAAATTGAGGTCCAGAAGGAGAAGCACAGAGAGCTGATCCTGCAGCTCAAGACACAGCTGGATGACCTGGAGACCTTTGCTTACCAAGAGGGCAGCTATGACTCTTTGCCACAGTCTGTGGTTATGGAAAGGCAACGGGTAAGGCTCACAAAACCTCCTGTATTTCCTAGCCCTTGTGAGCCTCTTACAGACTGTAGGTGCTTATCAATCTGTATTTCTTGTTAGCAGCTGAAATAGAATGTCAGTAGTTTGTCTACACTTGTGAACCTGTCCCGTGTCTTTTGCAATTTATTTCTGTGCAGCAGAGGCATCCTGTTTCCAAGCGAGTGTCTGGGAAAGGAGTATCCTGGGCAGCAGTGCCACATGGTGAAATCATGCTGCTCACTTGTATTTTGCAGATGATTATAAATGAGTTGATAAAGAAGCTGGACATGGACTTGAGCGAAGATATCGCAACGCTCTCTCCAGAGGAACTGCGGCAGCGGGTGGATGCTGCCATAGCACAGATTGTAAACCCAGCCAGGGTGAAGGAGCAGCTGGTGGAACAGCTGAAGACCCAGATAAGGGACCTCGAAATGTTCATCAACTTCATTCAGGGTCAGTGATGAGTTTTTGGATGAGCAGACTGAATTGCTGTGTAATTCCCTGACGCGGTCATGAGGAGGGAGGTCCCAGATGTTGGAAACAGCTTCTGGGTCACAGGAAAGTGACCTCTCTCTAAACTGATGGTGAGGAAAAGGACAGAGTAGCAAAAGAGGTCCAGAGAGGTCTGAGGAATGTTGACCTTAATACTGTATGCACAGCTGAAATTCATAAATGTGAAATAATGGTGTGAAATCCTTGTTGTAGATGAAGTTGGAAGCTCTGGTAAGGCAGAAGATGGACACTGTGACTGCGGGGGCTCCTACAAACCCAGCACTCAGCCTTCTGGGAACAGAGGTGGGCACCACTGGGCTTGGCGCTGCTGGCACAGTTCTGGCTGTCCCTCCCTGGAGCTGTGACAGGCACAAACCAGTCATACTCTGCTTTTTCCTGACAGTTGGTCTCTGTACTTCCCCAGTCCCACTGCTGAGGGCTTGTGTCTAGTTCCTTTACCCGCCCTCTATGTGATCCTCAGAGTAGTCACAGAGCCTGAACGTGAGGCAGAGAGGGTGGGATTGGTACTCAGCAGGGGTCAGGAAGAGAAGGGACTGCTGATAGTGCAAAACGCAGACAGATTGAGCAGCCCTGTCTGATGCATTCTAATTCATGCTCTTCAAGCTCTGAACTCCGTAAGCAGGTACTGTGAGCTGGGGGGATCCAGTTTGAGATTTCCCTACTTATCCCGTGAACTTACTGGAACTAAGTAGTGCAGCATGAGGTATCTGCTGCTAGTCAGAATGTTGGCCTGATGGAATTTGCAGACATTTACACTCCTTTTGTGTGTATGAACAAGCAGCGCTGTTGACTCCCTAACGAGAGTATGTTTTTCTCTTTTCTGACCTGGTCAGTGAACCCAGAAGATGCCAAAAGGATGCGAGAAACGGGCCTGCAGCTCATGCGCCGTGTGCTGGCTGTGCTGCAGATCTTTGCTGTCAGCCAGTTTGGCTGTGCCACAGGTCAGATCCCTCGCACCTTCTGGCAGAAAGACCAAGACAACAAGGACTTCTCCCCCTTAATTAAGAAACTGGAGTTGTCGGTGGAGCGGGTGAGGCAGCTCGCCTTGAAACACCAACAGGCAGAGCAGGTTGTCTGCTCTGAGCTGCAGGACATTCCCCTGGGAGGCAGAGACGAGCTGACTCTGGCTGTGCGCAGGGAGCTGACAGTCGCTCTGCGGGACTTGATGGCTCACGGGCTCTACGCCTCTTCCCCTGGCATGAGCCTGGTGTTGGCACCCATCGCGTGCTTGATCCCTGCATTCACCCCCTCGCCGCGGACCATGCACCCCTGGGAGCTCTTTGTCAAGTATTACAATGCTAAGAACGGACAAGCCTTCGTGGAATCCCCGGCTCGCAAGCTCTCCCAGTCCTTCGCCCTGCCTGTGACAGGAGCAGTGGCCACCACCCCCAAGCAGAGCCTGCTGGCTGCCATCCACACGGTGCTCACGGAGCACGGCCCCTTCAAGCGCAGCGCGGACTCGGAGCTGAAGGCGCTGGTGTGCATGGCACTGAACGAGCAGCGCCTGGTCTCCTGGCTCAACCTCATCTGCAAGTCTGGAGCTCTGGTGCAGTCCCACTACCAGCCCTGGAGCTACATGGCCAACACGGGTTTTGAGAGCGCGCTCACCCTCCTCAGCCGCCTGAGCAACTTGAAGTTCAGTCTCCCGGTTGATCTGGCTGTTCGGCAGCTGAAAAACATCAAAGATGCTTTTTGATGTGTTTTTATTGTAGATCATCCATTTTCCACAAGTAGGCAGCTGTTGGGCTCAAGAAGCCTGGCTTTTGTAAGACCCAACTTTGTCTCTTTGATATTTGCTTTTAGGGAAATCTTAGAGTGTCATGATGCTGGAAGTGTGTGTTGTCCAAGGTTGTCCCGGCAGAGCTGCTGGAGGCTGTGAGATGGGGCAGCACCTCCTTACCCCAGCCCTGCTGCTCTCAGGGGCAAAACTGCCTTGCCCAGGTGCCAGTGAGTGTTGGGGTGGGGGGCAGAGGGGACCTGCAGCTAAGCTCCCGTGTGGTTATTTTTCACCGTCTGTGCTCCACACGATGTACCCACGAGACCCCTCATGGAGGAGCGAGGCTGGCAGGTGTTGAGGCACCTCGGGGACTGCCCAGTCGCACGGGACTTGCGCTCTCCAAGGTGGATGTAGAAGACAGAGGCGGATACACAGGTGCCCTGGGCCTCCAGGGTCTCCTCCAGCAGCTCCGCAACCCGCGTCTCTCGGGCTGCCAGGCTGCTTTGCCCAACGGTCCGAGCAAATTGTTCCAGGCTTTTGTGCAAGGGCCAGCACGGCCCGGTGTCTCGCGGGGTGTATTAAATACCGCTGTAGTGCGTGTGGGCCGAGCCCGCCACTGTGCCGTGTGCTGTGTCCGTTACCGGCTCCGTTGCGCGGCCCCCGCCGTTCCCGGGGATGGGGGGCGGACACACACCCGGCCCCGCCGTGCCCGGTGCCGGCAGCGGCTCCCGGTGTCGCGGTGGAAGTGACGCGCGATCGCGCCGTGAAGGGTGGGGGCGCGGCCGCAGCTTCCTCTTCCGCCTTGGGCGCCATCGCGGCCGAGCCTCGGTGAGTGGGGGAGCGGGCGCGGGATCCGCCGCCATCCGCGGGTGCGGCGGGCGGGGCGCGGCGCGGGCTCGGCCTGACTGCGGGCTGCTGTGTCCGCAGAGATGGGGAAGTTCATGAAGCCGGGGAAGGTGGTGCTGGTGCTGGCCGGCCGCTACTCGGGGCGCAAGGCCGTCATCGTTAAGGTGAGCGCGGGGCTGATCCGGCGGGGCCGCTCCGGGCGCGGCTCCGCGCGGTCGTGCCGGGCGAGCGGGGTCCGAGGGGGCGGCACGGGCGGGGTCCCCGCGGTGCCACCGCCGCTGCGGCCCGTGTGTTTCAGAACATCGACGATGGCACCTCGGACCGCCCGTACAGCCACGCTTTGGTGGCCGGCATCGACCGCTACCCGCGCAAGGTGACGGCTGCCATGGGCAAGAAGAAGATCGCGAAGAGGTCCAAGATCAAGTCCTTCGTGAAGGTTTACAACTACAACCATCTGATGCCCACCCGGTGAGTGCGACCCCGACAGTGCTGCTGCCGGCAGTTCCGGCTGGAGGAGTCTCGGCTGCATCTGGGGATCGCGGTTCTTGTGTGCTCTAGTGAAGGCTCAGAGTCACTGAGGCTGTTAATGTGGCTGAGTGAACATGAGGCTCGGGCTCTGCAAAA